GATGGTGGAGGAGTGAAGCGCGCGCGGTGTGTAGAGGAGGAAGGGATGCACAGATAATGGAAGAGTGGGCGACGGCGCGACGGCGCATGCGCGCGCGTCGGCTGTCGAATGTTCGAGAAGCGGTGCGGACGGCGTGGACGGCGCACTACAAGGCGCGAGTATAAGATGCTTCCGCATTTAAAAGTTATTTACAGCATGTACAGAACACAAAGGCTTCATACCATTCCAGTAACAGGGCAAATACAGGGCATGTTTCTTAAAAAAAGATATAGCTACAGTTGAATCGTATAGCACGTGTAAGTGTCTGGCGTGATTTGAAGCGAAAGATTTTGCCACTTTTCACTTCTTTTCGCGTGACGCTGCCTAAGCCTACTCTGTGCGGTCTTTTTCATCGTAGACATCACGCAGGATCACTTGACGAAGATAAATGAAAGAAATTAATCTTTATTCCCAAAGCGGGACTCGAACCGTGGTCGTGGTGGCTGATGGGCGTTTGTCAAAATAATTATCTACGTTGCCCAACCTGTGGAACATGAAGTTACGATACGGACATGAATGCGTTGTGCTGACGATTGTCATGGAATTGAAAAACAGAACACTTGCTACAGCAACCACCCAGCGCCCGCGCCAAGTGTTCAAGGCAGTTAAATTAGCGTAGTTGAGTAAAAGATGTATTTGTCTAAGGCTACAGTAAAGGCATAACAAGCTGGACTTCAGGAGCAAAATACCAGAAAAGTGAGCTGCATGTTTCTTTGTAGTGCATTACTTGTAATAAATCAAGGCAAGGCACACGGTCTTGTAAGAAATTCATGTAGATAACAAAGAGCACGCATTCTGGAGGATTCAGGCTGCCCCAGCGGAAAATCACCGAATTGAGGATTGCGCTGAAACGCCGTAGCCTGCAGCCAAATCACACAATCTCGCTTTCACCAATCGCGTGTAAGAGCGCACATTCAAACTCCGTTGGTAGATTTATTACACGGATGGACGTTGCTCAATCACTTATACTCGCGTGCTGATGGTTTGTCCGGTGCTTTTCACAGCGTGGAACTGGCTTAACTTTCAGATTTTTAGGGACGAAGCTCCTCGGGCAGCGGGCAGTTCCCTCCTCTGTAGTGTTAGTAGTAGTAGTAAAAGTAGTAGTAGTAGTAGTAGTAGTAGTACAGTAGCCGTCTCTAGTTTATGAATTGGTCAATGGAGGGCGTTGTGTGTATATGTCCTTGGAAATAATATCACTACATAGCGTTAGTGGTTTTCCTTTAGTTCACAATTTCGTGTAGTTGATAGATGGATGGACAGACATACAGACGGACGTAAGTGCGGTCAAACAGAAGTACGGACTGACAGACAGGCAAAAGCACGGAAGGATGGACAGATGGACGCTTCGCACTACTCAGCATCATTGACTGCGTGGATATGCTGTGAGTTTTTCAACTGTTTGATTTACCGGAATATTGTGACCACGATAAGACCCAAGCCTTGTTTCAGGAGTCCGAAGGGGTTATTATTTTCTGCGCCTTTTTACTTTTATTCATACTGGTGCTACCTTAATATTATAAAAAGAGAGGAAGCTTTTCCATATCAGGCTGTGCTTTACACTGCGACGTAGTGTTAAGCAAGTGAATTAATTGCTGGCTTGAAATCACTGTATTTAGCTATTGTCTGCGCGATTCAAGCCTGTGACCATGATGGTGATGTTGTATTGAATAGCTCGTGTAGTACATTCATTTTCCTGCGCTCGATCGTACTTATTCTCTGATGAAGCAGCACTTACACGAGGTTCCTCTCTTCCATAGGCTTGCCCAGGTCAAGGACTTCGGCCGGTATCATGTCGGGGTCGTCCATGAGATCCAGGTTTGCCGGGTCACCAGCAGCGGCATTCTGGCCACCGAGGCCTACTGGCAAAGCTGCAGCGGCAGCACCCACTGGATTGAGTGGTTGAGCCGGATTCACGCCAGGCTGTGCTGGGTTGGCGTTCATCGTTGGGTCAACACTGCAATGTGTATACTCAAGCTTTTGGTGTTGTCTACATCACACCACATCTCAGTTAAGAGATAAAAAGTATACATTATTTTTACTTCTATTTTAATGAAAAACTGAGTTTCGCTACTTGGGCAAATATATATCTAATGCGATGCTGCAAGCAAACGGAGCTTCCATGAACCAGGGTGGCAGCTGGGCTATGCTGGTTGAAAGAAAGTGGAAGAACTTAGGTCTACTATTATTTCTAACTGTGTCATCTGGTCATATAAAAGTGTGTGGGTAATTTATATATAATCCCAGAAGCACTTCATTCATTTGAATTACTTCGTAAGACATGCAAGACGTTTGGTAGCTTTCGAAGCAGGGCCTGATTAGCCTCATCTGTGTTAGCAACAAACGAACTATCTCGTGGCAAAAAGATATTCTGAATCATCTCACAAGTGACACGCGGTTGTCTTCGAACAGCTACGCAAGGATCTAAACGGGGCCATATCTGTGGTTGAGTGTAATTCGCACCACGACAACAGGTATATATATAGGCTCCGAGGGCCTGATCATATGGTCAAGTAAACTTACATGTTTCTGCAGACGGCTGAGAAAAAACCGACTCTGCTGGGGCAGCTTGCCTAGTCTGCTGTGGGGATATACTATATATAAATGGGGCGGCCGTATAATGCGAAAAATCCTGAGAACAGGTAAGCCTACCGACCTCCTACGAACGGGCGTTTCTTCTTCTGCGACACGTGGCAGCGGGCGCTTCTACCTCCGAAGGAAAAGAACGGGCAACGATGATGATACCCGTAGTTTTTCGCGGTGATGAATTGGATACTCGGAAACAATGAATCAAAAGCGAAAGCCACGTAGTGGTCAACCAACTTCTTTATAATGCTTGTTGCTCGATACCCGTTCGTTAGTGCTCAGTAAACTACTTCATTCATACGCCTTATAAAAATTTAGGATAGCCTTAGCCCACCACAGTGGGTATTACCTACAGTTAATAGATTTGTCAGAACAAGAAATGAACCGAAGGAAGAGCGTTGCACGTGGATAAATGATACTAGACAAAGCACCGATTCATTGCCTACGATGACGGAAATATCACGCGGAAATATATGTAAATTGGTCAATAATACGATGAAGTAATAAAAACAGCTACAATCCGTGTTGTCATCTGTTACCATTTCAAGAGACTGGAACTCCTTAAAACATGGAGCGAATTTTAGCAGAGCGAGAGATTTTGTAGTTGGAAGTGGCGCTAATCACGTGGAAGCGAGGACGTTGGCTGGTCGTTGGATCAATTTGACAAAAGTCGCTCGCAACATTCTAATGATCCTTGATAAGCCACACCATTGTGCGCTAAATATAATCAAAGAATTTTTATTATCTGCCCAGAGAAAAAAAATCACAGCCCATCCACGGAGTGAATGATGATTGGTGGTGCGAAGCGTTCGTCAGTCAGTCCGTGCTTTCGTCCACCCATTCGTTCTTGCTTCTGTCCGTCTATGCGTACGTCCATGCGTCCATCCATGTGTCCGTCCATCCGTGTGACCATTGGGGCATCCGCCCATCAGTGCGTCCCTTCATGCGTCCATGCGTTCCTCCGTCTGTCTATACGTCCGTACGTGCGTCTGTTCGTGCGGCCGTCTTTCTGTCTGTGCGTCCATCACTCCATGTGCCTATCTGTATGTCTATCCGTCTGTCTTTATATCTAGTGAATACTCCAAATGGAGTCGCCTCACATCTTTTCATCATGTATTCATCATATACAAGTGCCGCCATTCAGCGGACATTCTAAGGACCACTCTTTCAGGTGTGTGTCACCGGTGACTACATACACCATCGCCGGACGGACAAACCCACACCGTAAGGAGCTTCGCCCCTAAAATTCATATATGTTTTAAAGGGAAAATTCAAAAAAATTTGCGAGACGATGTTAAGCGTGCTGCAAAACAGCCGACTCGGGACGAGTCGTCCGGTATGTCTCTTCAAAAGGCGAGTGACGGCTGGAACTGGCCGTTCATATTTACGGGACATTAGATTGCGAAAGGGAGCGTTTTTTTCTCCTCGTCTCCTGGAGTTCTGAAGTTTCAAGACTGAAATTTTGTGCAACCATGCAGCGATTTTGGTAATTTTTCTTTCTCTTCGTCTCAGTATTCAGCCACATACTGACTCTGTCGCTGCAAAATGTGGACGTCGAAGCGTTGTAGGGCCCCTCTAATAAGAATATATTGGGAATAACGGATCAGTATCAGCACTTGGGCGTCCATCCCACACAAAATATTGCATCAACCGATCTTATAACCACCATATATACAGATGCTTTCAGATCGCAACCATATTTGATATTTAGTGTACACGCGAGAAGTCGCCGACCAGAAAGAACACGTTTAGTTGAGTATTGTGAATATGGCTACCGCATGGGCAGCCGAAACGTCATGTTAACTTCGTGATCTCTTTGGTCTGTGCGCTTTTTCTCGTTTACACCTTGTATTTACCTGGCGAGGCCAGTTGTCATCTAATTTTCTATTTCATATTCTATAACAATCATAAGCCCTGAAAAACAAAAAAAACGTCGCTAGCATTGTCACAGCCCTAACTAAGTGCAGGCAGCCATGAAAAAACAGCTACAAGTGTCGCTACATTTTCATTATGCTGTGATTCTTCGCCCTGCAACTTTCAAAGGTTGTGACTACTGGCTCTTTACTGCTTTTCTTTTTACGTGTGCGCATTTCCATTATACTTGTGCTAGTTCTCAGACTAGTTTAAAGGGTCACCTAAGATCAATATTTTCATGCAACCTGATAGGGCTATAAAGTGCGCGATCGATACTTAGTTTAGTGTTATAGCTTATGTAAAGTCCATCTTGTAAAACTAATGGGCGAATAATAAACTTTATTATTGGATCTTTGGGCAACACAGAACATACGTGAAGTGAAAAAAAAATCACGCATTCGATGTGAGTGACCTCACACGAGGTCGCAATAGAGAAGAAAAATCCCGTGCACGGAAAACAACACTCATCGCCGACGGCGTGAAGCACCGGCGGACCAACTACCGTATCCGGCCGGTCCATAGCGTCCTCCATTGTAGCCAGCAGCACCGTAGTCGTAAGGAGCTGAACCTCTGTAGGCGTAGCCGCCGAGTGCTGGTCCGTTCAGAGAGTTGCCGTAGCTGCCATACCCACCGTATCCGTATCCACCAGCACCACGGCTATACTGGTCATACCCGCCATATCTACCGTATCCGCCGGCGTAGCTGTTGTAGCTAGGTGCTGTAGTTCTGGCGCCAAATGTGCCGCTAGCCGCCCCTCCAACGGGCACTGGTGGAACTATGGGAGCGGCGTTAAATACGGCGTCGGCACTGGCGCCCGGTGCCGTGCCTGGCTCGTTGGTGTCCACCGTGGCGCGGAATCCATTGGCATCGGCGATGTAGCTTACTCGCCGATATATGCCATTTACGTCACGGTAGCCGTATGAACCAGTCTTCACATTGTTTGCGTCACCCTGTTCACTTCGGAACTGCCGGTTGCCGAACTCGTCCACCGTGTCGTATCCAAAGCTGTACGGCTGTGGCGGCTACAAAAGAAAAAAAAGCAAAAAAAAAACCAGAAGCTAGAAATGAACTTGCTGCTTAGCTACTAAGCTGTATTTTTGCACCAATATGGACAAGATTTTACTCGCCCTTGTGGAAGATGGGAATCGTTTTAAGCTCGAAAAGGTAAAAGGTGGGCTTAAATTACTGTTGTGACCTGTTAGACAGCGTTGGGGAATGAGTGGAAAAGAAGTAAGTATGAAGATTTGGATTGTGAGTATGTAAGTCGGGATATAGCTTCAATATACTAATAAGCTTTGGCCTATTTTCGTGTTCTGTAAAGTTACTTTAATGAATCAATCACTTTTCGAGTTGAGTATTGTGCAGAGATTTTCTGAGTGCTTTGAGTTCTTTCAGATGATTGCGCAGATGACGAAGGTCATTCGCAGGGACAAACACAACTTCATTTTTTTTCTAATGGACACTGCGTAACATAATGAAAATGCTTTTTTGTAAGTTTCCAATAATAAGTTTACGAACATTGTCCCAGAAAAACAATAGAAATTTCAAGTTCTTGTTTCTTGTTCTTTCCAATGTGTGTCATGATAGCTGTATAGTCAGATCAACAGGCTTACCACTGAGCCATTAATGTGTTGCTTACACTACGTTCATTGAGCAATGCCAAATATAATTTTATAGCGTCGGTGTATGGCTATAACGCATTTGGAAATACTTGATACAACGCGAAACTCGTCTGAGATTTCAAAGAGAACATACGCATAAAGGTGTATAAGAATTGTACACAAGCACATACATAAAAAAAAGAAGTTGAATGTGCAATATATGCCCAAACGTTGTGTAGGATATAGGCGACTACCCAATATGGCCGCCTGTGAGCGATACAGCTTTTTTCGCTGGCCGCTTGTTTGTGCCTTATAGAAATGCGTTTCTCATGCCTATATTGCACTTAATTCCCTGTTTCGCGCAAGCAGACAATTACTCTTCAAACAAAAAGAATTGATGTATACTGCATATTGCGCAAGGTTTCTTTGGTCACAGACTTGGGATTTCTACGCCAAGCATGTTCTATTTTGCCGTATGAATTGTTCACGTTCGCTTTCTAGCGCCATACGCTCTATGCGGAGTTGAGGCGAATGATCTAAAAGATAACGGCGCTTGTGGAATGTGAAGCCGTGCCGAAGCGGTATGAAATACTCTCTTCCTCACATGAACATTACGAGAAATATTCGCCAAAGAGCGACAGCAGCGTGAACGCTTCGACGCATATGCTCATTAACTCGGCATAATCTAAGCAGTGACTCTGGGTGAATTTTCTAGTTATATATTCTGCGAAAATGAGACTCCAACATATGTTGACAAACAATCAGTAAGACCTTATATGCTAACAGTGATTGTTTATGACGAGGTACACCCACACCAAGGTAAATGTATATGCGTGCGCGCATGGTATATGTCGCAGTGTGGTACGTGCCGCAAATGTGTACTACACCAAGGTACGTGTAGGCTACATGTAAACTAACATGTACACCAACGTGTGCGTCATTGAATGGGTACACCAAGAGACTGATAGGCGCTGCTTTTATGTGTTTTTGCCTTCGCAAAATAGCTGTCGCATTACTTTTGTTGCCTATGGCAATAATAGCGCTTTGTTCAGGTGAGCTATAGATACGCGTGATTGATATCACGCATTTTTTCGTGAGGCATCCCATACTGTCGCTGTTAATTGCAACATCACCGTGAAGTGAAGACGGCGTATATCAGTATTGGTGTCCATGGATTAGTGATCAGTAAAAACAGAATTGACATGTGTTTCGAAATCTAACGCCTAATCTTCGTCACAAATGACCTACAACATGAGTATCAGAGTGGCATTGTTTTTAATGACATCTATAGGTGACGTTTGTATGAATTCTCTCGACCCATTCACCTCTCCCCACCACCTTCCTACGCTCCCTCCATCTGGACTGTCCTTGGCATTGTGAGACGAAATTTTGTAATCGTGGGGGCAAGATAAGATGTTTGTGAGACGCCAGTGGTACACGATGGTGGGAAATGTTTTTTTTTTACATATAATGCTGCATTCAGAGTATTGTATCTCAGTCTGTCAAGGTTACAATGAGCGAGGAAGGTGCGAAACAATCTCAGTCACTTACGGATGCGTAGTCAGCGTATCCTTGGTAAGGGACAGCACCCCCAGGAGCAGCGTAGCCGTTGTAACCAGGGTTCTGATAGCCTGCCCCTCCCTGATGGTTATTGAGTCCAAATGACGTTGCCGCGATGCAGGCAAGAACAACCTGAACCTGTCCAAAACACCAGCGTTTATAAACATAAATGTTCAAGCGTTCTCACCGGTTTCGAGAAAATAGAAAGTTGATTAGCCTCTGCCTTAAAGCATCATTCGGTACACCTCAAAATATATACTACAAAGCCGTAGTTACTACGAACTCAGTAAGAAAAAAATGTACGCGAATGAAGCTGGAAGGGCTGAGCAGTTGCAGAAAGAATGTTACACCAACACAGCTCATACATTTTTGTATCGTGGACAGTAAGCGTAGTGCAGCTGCTGGTTTGAATACAAGCATGGCTTCAGAGATGCTGTAATGTTGCTCTTAGGCATTTGAAGTTCTATTGCTTGCATTCGCGAAGACGATTCTCATAGATTTCCGTAATGACCATAAAAATTGTTTTATGGTCTAGTTGTAAACTTTAGAGTTTATGATCATGAATACGGAGAGATATAGGTACGACGAGCAGAAAAGTTAATGTTATTTGGGTCATGTCGACAGAATATCATAAGTTAAACAGATGCACGTAAAAAAAGTAGAAATAAACATTTTTGTTCCTGCTTTGAGGTGTATCTAGATCTCTAATCTTGCTACAGAAATAATTTGGGAGAGTAATGTTACGTGGCATCAGTCATAATCCTGAAAATATGGATGGTGTTCCCCGCATCATTACTGGCGACCGCTATCTACAATTATCTATATTTGTTACAAAGACAGCTGTCAATAAATGTACCAGCAAAGCAACTGACAAATTAAGAAATTGCACCCTAAAGCGTGATGCCCCACAAATTCACCTTTGTTGACAACATTCCAGCTGCTTTGAAGCTTTCACTGAGCAAGAACACAGCTATCCGAATGAGTAAACAGCCACTGTTTTCTGGCTCTTCACCTCTGTGGCGAAGCTTTTATACTCTCTGCCGACAAGGCGTGCACAATCTTTGCGAATAAACAACAACAAAAGTAAGCCCTCTCTCACTGTGGTCGCTTGAGTCATCGTATTTCGCAAAATACTTTTCGTCCTACATGCACATAAACCCTTCACGGTTAGGTCAGTAGCTGGCTCACCCGGAGGCCCAAAAACCCAGCGACAATTGTTGCTCGTCATGGCTGCCAACGGGCGCAGAGGAAAGTTCACGCCGTCACGCTTTTTGTACAGTGGCGACAGTGGTGACACTGACGCCGGCGTACATGGTTTCCTTTTCTTTTGTTGCGTGATTGTCCTTTCTGTACTTTCAACATCGTTTAAGTGGTTGTAGGATTGTCATGTTTTTTTGGTGTTTCATGTTAATTCAGCACTCTTTTCAAACGCACGAGAAAAACGCTTCCTGACATGTTTCTTTTGAAATCAGTTTATCGATATAACTGGATAAACGATCCGCTAATCTATCTTCTACTAAATGAAGGCATGTATATTATACTTTATTTATTCTTTTAACCTAGGTGTTTGATTGGATATTAAGCTGGAAACGAGAAACGTACAGTTCTACACCAGAAAATAATAAATATTTTATCTCGTCTGAAGCAACTAGTCATTGAATCTATCAAATTTTACACCTTTTTGCTTGCCACTACAGGTAATCACTGTGTTTTCTCACGATTTGTATTTCTAAGATGGCGGCCTAAATATATTCAGAAAAGGTGATATAGATTGACGCAACCGATTGAGATCCAGCAAATAACGCTAAGAAATGAGCATCAATCTCAAATCACCTTCGTTTAAAAAATAGCCACATAGGAGGAGCAGCTTTCCGGCAGGCTTCACGCATTTCGTTGTATATAGTTTTCTAAACAAGATTGCACCATGTACCTCGATAGATGGTACTAGACTGCAAAAATTATTGGTCTCTGTGATACCAGAAACAAGTTAGCCATTTGTTTTGTGGAGGTGTGGGAGTGGGCCAGTTCCAAACGTTAAGCTTCCGCACGAAAGGGTGCACAACAACAACAACAACAAAAAAATAAACGATGAAGATAGGTGCTGACTTCAAACAATAGATTTATTTGTATACATTTGAGTGTTCTTGAAAAAAAAAACATTATGTTCTCTCAACATTGCCATCCACCAAACAATGATCGCTTTCTTCAACAGTAGGAAACTTCTCCTGTTTTGTCCAGATAGTGTCTCATTTTTGACTATTGCAAGAAGTTAATAGTTATGCCCCACACAGCTAGCAGTGAGACGTTTTTTTTTCTCTTTTGCAAAGGAATTGAGTCTAAAAATAATGACAAATTCCATATGTTACGAGTACCGTAAATGCTTTTATGTACTTGCGAAAATCCTTGAAATAAAGCACTTTCATGCACGCACGCTAACCAAATAAGCTATGTTTTGTGATTCTTGGAAATCTTTTTGTAGCCAAATCGAGTTCGTTTTACAAACCTTGTAGCTGTTAGTCTCTCCACTGCCTTCAGTGTTTATCTTTATGGCTAGCTCCCGAATACAGCAATGTTCTATAGGCACTCGCCAGGAGAACGAATTAGCTTTGCTTCGTGGGTTAATTCGCCGAAAAGTTTAAATTGAAGAGGTATGCGAAATAAACACCACTATACGTCTGACATTTTTAAATATACAATAAACGCTTTGCTAACTAGGTGCAGATTTCGGGGAGAAAGAAAATTTTTCCGTAGCGATGCTTTTCGACTCTTGCGGGTTGCACATATCTATACATCACACCACCTGCAAACGATTTACCACTACTTCTGATGTTGCCTGTTACTAATTCATTTTTTGAACACAAGAGAGAAAAATTGACTTTCGTTTTAAATGCCATGCCGCCGTAATAGAATGATACAACCAACGTTTTTTTTACACGAGAATGACACCATTAACAGATGCAGTGGCTCTTCCAGCAAGAACATTCGATTTCTTACCTTGAAATGCGCCTGAAAATGTCGTTCCTATTATGTTTTTATGGGCGAAGCTCCTTATGGTCAAGCCATGCCCCTGTTCATCAGCGTGACTCGCTATGAATTTCCATGACCAATGGATATCCACATTCATAACCAATAGGTTACCGATATGGACATCTCACCACCGTGTGCACATAGTGATTAATAAACAGCTTTGTAAATAATGTACAGACGCGTTGTCCCGTTCTTGAAGGATCGAAAGGCAATGTACGGGGGTTAATTATCCACGGGAGCTTCGCCCACTGATCATCATTCACTTCGTGGATATGGTGTGGTCTCTTTCTTTTTCAGCTTAGTAGTGCCAAAAAAAAATGATTGGTGGATAAATGAATAGTCAAAATATGAGCTTGTCACGTCAGGTTTTCATTTCTGATTGGGTGTTACGTTGTATTTATTCCGTTACGCAGCACATTTTTGTCCTAATTAATTATGAATGACACTACAGAGAATGGCTCAACGTTACGTTTTAAATTTTTCTGTAGAGCCTAAAATTAAGTGCTTTTTCAATTGGTTGCGCACTTTTTTTTCGTTGATGTTTTAAATGGACACTAAAGGCAACTGATAAGTTGACGTTGATTGTTGAAATAGCGGTCCAGAAACCTCGTAGTGTTAGTTTTATGCCGAGCAAGTGGTTATTTTAAAATAAAATCAAGTTTTACTGGTCCGCATTGGGTTAGCCCATTTCAGTTTACCCACCTCAAGCGGAGGGTGTCACATCACTGGTGCCGTGCAAAACGTTGCCCGTCTTTACTGCGCATCCGCTCACACTATATAGTAGCAGCAAAGCGAAAGTAGTGGGCGCCGAAGCACAAACAAGAGACATTAAACCATTTCCTGTAATGGCCTATGAAATGGCAGACGTTACTTCTTCAACTGGCCTCGCTAGATGGCATGACCTGTCCAGTTTCACCAGCCGAAAATAGAACTTTTGAACCGCTCATGCCATTCCCCATAATACCGTCCGGCATTTTTAGGGGCGAAGCTTCTTATAACGGCACCCATTCGTCCCTCGTAGCTGTTGTAGCGTGTAACAAATATAACATTATGACCCCCAAGGTGGTGCTGGTGAGAGATTTCTTCTGTGCGTTGTTGAACAATAAAAAAGGGCTCAATGTACATGCTAATGGCTTCTAATGGGGAATAAAAAACGGGAGCATTCGGCTTTTAGTTAACGCGCACGCTGCAATCCACATAGCAGCCATTTGCGTGTACATTGAGCAATATCTGGCAAGAAGGGGTTGCTAAGATATACTCGCTGGGTGTAACCTCCTTAGTTTTAGAAAGGTTTACCGAGCGTTGAGCCGCAGTGCTATGAATACAGTGAACTAGTATATACCATGAACTCGAGGTGGTTAAAGGTGGGAAATAGACCCGAAGCGCAAGCCGTAAGAAAGTGTGCGCGTGCCACCTCTCGTTTAGTCCTTGGAATGTCCGCTGGATGGCGGTGCTTCTTTATGGGGAATATATGATGAAAAGATGCGAGATGGTGGTACTTGGAGTGTTGAATAGATGGACGAGCGGACACACAGACAGATGCATATGAATGGACGCATGAACGGACGCAGTGGCGGATGCATGGATGAACGCAGGGACGGACGCACGAACAGACGCATGCACGGACGGGCGGATGGACGCATGGACGATCACATAGACAGACCCATGGACAGACGGAAGCAAGAACGAATAAACGAACGAATGCTTCACCCTACTCTCCATCATTCACTCCGTGGATATGCTGCCAATTGTTTTTCTATGAATCAGAAAGACACGAAAAAGCAATATTTACGTCTCCTGATGCATGGAATGTTTTTCAAATAATACAGTTTGTTTGATCACTAGTGATTATTTTACGTGGTACCTCTGACGTAATCGGGATCATTTTTCGAATGTCCTAATGTAGCGCATGTGCTCTCGTGCATTTACCCAAATTTCTCGGTAAGTAGAGCACTGTGGTTGACAATATTGTCGTTTTAGACGTTGTCAAACATCGCGCTTTCATTCTGGCTTATATTGTTCTTACTTTAGGGTCTTTTTAAATAACGCACATATACATACAGCCATAAGAATTATCGATCACCATTAATGGGTTGCACCCGGTTACTGAA